TCCTCCACCTCTCCTTCTCCTCCACCTCTGCTCCCAGGTCCCTAACCATCTGATATGGTTAATATTCTTCTATTGGTTTTTTCACTCTTCTATGAACTTTGTGGCAGAGCTGCTGCAGTTTGGAGACAGAGAGTTCTACAAAGACTGGTGGTGAGTAGAAGATACGTTCAATCACACACGATTACAGGAATAAAAGCACACTGTATGCATGTATGCAAATATATTTTGTTCATTTCAGGAACTCTGAAACTGTCACATATTTCTGGGCCAACTGGAATATCCCAGTTCACAAGTGGTGCCTGAGGTGAGCACCAACATCTCTGTAATTGTGTTTTTTCCAACACTGATTCTCTGTTTTGATGTTTTAGCTTCACATTCTCCTTATAGTATAAGTACAATGATAAATAAATCAAATCAAGTCAAATGTGTGTGTGTGTGTGTGTGTGTTGCAGACACTTCTATAAGCCGATGTTGAAAAAGGGGATCAACAAGTTTCTGGCTCAAACCGCCGTTTTCCTTATGTCTGCCTTCTTCCACGAGGTAAACAAACAGCATTCAGTCTTTCTATGTGACACAAAACACTACTGAAGTTTCCATATCTGCTAATTCAACCTCAAACACAGCTGTAAGTTTTACTTTTAATGTCTATACATGAAATGAAAATGCCTGTTGTGGACAGTTGTTTTATTTACATACAGCAATTCATAATGTAAAATTACTAGGACTATATTAAGCTACAGTATGCAATACAAATAATTTGAAATAATTTGAAACTGTGAGGTGCTGGCTCGCAGTTGGAAACCTAAACAAGTCAAAATGTGCTGGAACAGTGATTCCTGAATTTAAAAATAATATTGTATTTAAGTTATGAATGTGTAGCTTTTCCCTCTTTTACATTTATACATTATGAATACATGAAAACTGTTCTGTGTCTGATTTACTGTACTTACTCTTCAGTACCTGGTGAGTGTCCCTCTGAAGATGTTCAGACTGTGGGCCTTCATGGGAATGATGGCTCAGGTAAGACACATTGAACTGTCCACCTCTTTCACTCTCACCAGTCACAGACCTTATAGACAAACACACTTTGACCTCTGAACTCTCAACTCCTCAGGTTCCTCTGGCGTGGTTTGTGGGTCGTTTCCTGAATGGGAACTATGGCAACGCCGCTGTGTGGATCTCACTCATCATTGGCCAGCCTGTCGCTGTGTTGATGTATGTCCATGACTACTATGTTATTCATTACGGGGGAACTACATAGTACTGTACGAACACACACATGCTCACAGTCACACACGTAAACACGTTCAAGTCATATTGTACGCGCACGCACGCACATTCACTCAGTGAGTGAATGCAGAGCAAGTTGAGGTGACTATAATAGGAAGCCCTGTTAATATGAACCTGTCAGTAAAAGCAGGAAATTTGTTTTTGACCTCTTGATTTTTGCACTAAAGAGAAATAAACCACAGTGTGTCAGGAACTAATTCTAACAACCTGAGAAGTGCTAGGTTTATTGAGATATTCCACTTTAGTAGGACACACACACCTTTTGTTGTCAGCCTTCAGTATCAGCAAACCTTGGAATCCGCAGTCCCCCCCCGTTCTTAATGTCTTTATCTAAGCATCGGACGTTTCAACTTTAAACAAATGATCCTGGACACAAAATCAAATAGAATCTCTGTTATTGGAATTGATCCATCGCTGATAGATTTATGTGAAGCAGAGTTTGCTAAAACAAAAGTAAATGTGTGGTGCTAAGGTTTCGTGGAGTGGCCGGTACTGCTGGTCGATTCATTAGGTACACGTACACTAGCGTGAAAACCCTTCTCTGACTTTTTAACAACAATTTCTTGAACTTTAAAAAGCAGCCTTTCAATGCAATGGAAAGTGGAAACACTGTTTGTAACCAGGCACTCCTCAAGTTGTGGAAAGTACGCGCACCTTCCTGTGCAACAAAGCCAGGACAGGATCCTGCCTCCATAGAGCCAATATGAAAATGTTGTTTCTATCAATCAGTAGCTGAGACTTTTTACTTGTATCCAAAGGCAACAGAGAAAGTAAGACGCCAGATAAACTGTTTGTTTCTACAAGCTAAGGCTTAAATCTTCCAAATGCCAATTTAGGAGTCTCCAAATTGACAACAGTACCAGTTTTATACATGTATTCTGTGTGTATATATCCTATATGCCTCTCTTTTTGATGCATTGAAGTTGTTGAGTATTACAGACATTTATAATAAACAGATTTGTAACAAAACTGATCAAACCCCCGGACACTGAACACAGAGGAGGGGAGACACTAAAAAGTGAAGGAGAAATGGTTAAAGGACATTTTTGTGACGTTATTTGTACAGTCGCTGACCTTCAGGCAGCCTCCCTTCTTCTGTTTCTCAGCTACCAACAACATTAATACGAGCTCTTAGTGTAACATTACATGCTAAAGGTGTGTCGTTTGCCTTGGCTTCATTGTCCTTTTTTTGTGTTGCATTTGACTTATCAGATGGTTTATTTTATACTTTGTATAATTGTATGTGTTTACGACTGTCTGCACTTACGCTGTGCCATCTTGAAATTATAATTTATGTTGTATTTTATTTGAAATCAATGATTTACTGCAGTATTTGATTTTGCCGATTTGAACCAATGAATGTTTATTTGCACTTTAAAGAGATGCATGCTGTTGACTTAAGCAATAGATTTCTATGAATGTATTCTTTAAGTTATCTTAATCATGTAAGGAAAATATTTTTGTTGTATTTGTTGTCGTATGAGGATTGATCAATTTCAGTTTGTTTCAGCTGCAGTGGTAATAAGTGTTTAACTATTTAAAACCTAAAGACTTGATTTGAAAGGTATTAGAGCCTGACACCGTTTTCAATATAGATATTTTCTATATAATAGCTGATATGGAAATATGTTCTGTTATTTTACTTTCATATGTTTTAATCTGCTTTCCAATGAACATGTTAAATCAGAGCCTTTAACTCTAAGATTAGTCCTTTTTCTTTCCCTATTGATCACATTTCTAAAACACTGTTGTTAAATCATAACCGCAGTAATCAATCATGTGTTGACATTCCTTATTGAAATTTACAAGTGCCTGCAGGAAAAATAGTTTTATGTAGAAAAGACACAAAAGATTCAACCAAATACTAATAAAAGACACAAATGTCGTTAACTCTATTCTATGTGGCCAATAGATTAACACATTTATATTTGTGGTGTCTTTAAATATTTGGGAACTTAAGACTAATATTCAATGCAGTCATTTTTGTTTTCTTAAACAAAAGAAATGTTATTTTGACAGCCTTATGCAAGAGTCGTACATAAATCTTATCACATTATTGGTATTTCTGTGCACAAATGGCAGCTTTAGTAACAGCCTGACTTACAAATATGAACCAGTTTATAAACTCTGAGTTCATTAAATTTGTTCAATCACTTGTTTATTACATTGGAGGATTCTTTCTGAAGTAGCAAACTGAGCTGCCGTTTGGAAGACTAAAAACACTAAAATGACATGAATCAGTCAGTGTCAGAAAATGCTGGCAACATTTAATAGTAAATAAGCTCCAAATAATGAAACCCTGCAAACAAACTCAGAAAAGTTATTTTTCTCATTTGTAAAAGTACTGAATTGAGTTTACTTTTAATTTTGCCTTTCTGTGTTTTGTTTTTGTGAGAATTATTGAACATGGAAAGTATGAAGTGACCCCTGAGGTAGTGTCAACATTACGCTGCGTGTCCCAGGTAATCTTTTCGTTTTATTTTGTCCACCTGAAGCCCATCACTCCCTGCTTCCACTTCATTACTGCACTGCTCTCGAGATATTAGTTGAAGATGCAGCTTTAAGTTGAACCGTCTTTCGAGAGTTCATTTTGTTTGTGGATGATTGTGTGACGCAACATGTAGTAAAACGAATGTATTGTACTGATCTGTTCATACTGTATACAGAAATCCAAAGTGAAACAAAGAGTATATGTTTTTGGAATGCAAATAATTTTCATAGCCTTTCACTTGAAATTATTTGTGTTGTTTGATAAAGATTATATATATTTGATGAATTGACTCGTCTATTTTTCTTCTAGTAGCCGGTAACAGTGGAGTATCCTGAATTTCCTGGTTATTTACATGTAAGGTTGCTACTGTACAACATGGTTTTCTAGACACATACATCTTTAAACAACTACAATATCCATTGAAAACAACAAGGACAGATGAGTCCATAAAAATCTTTATTGTGAGAGACGGCACTCAAAACTTATAGTTCCAAAATGAAAATATAATAATACAAAGTTGTTGTTTTTCAAAGTTGATGATACGTCTGCACAGAAAAAAAAAATCTTACAACTAAACTCCACATCAGGTCTGGGGGAACAGTGCATGTTGAGGATTTCTACTGCTGCAACAAACAAACAGAGGAGTGTGAGACACGTTATGTGCAGCGTATGACCAAGTAAATACACAGTTGTTCATGTGTGGAGGACGTGTGTGTGTGTGTTTCACCTTGGCTTTCTGGTTCTGGACAGGCAGGTAGAGTTTAAACTCTGCCGGGAGCTCGTCCTCCGAGTACAGTCTATCTGAGAAATACACTCTCCTTATCCGACAGTTCGCATGGATCTGAGAGGGAAACAGCGGGGTCGGACTTTAGCAAGAGAAAGAGATGTCACAACAAGTGCAGTCGGCTGGTTCCGAGTCCGTCTCTCTACACTAACCTGTACTCTCAGCGTCTCAATGTAATTGGTTCCATAGGCCCTCCTGGTGAAGTCCGACAGGTTGAACTGAATCTGGTTCCAGCCATCATCCAGCCTCATGGGCATGGTGCAGATAAACGGCTTCACTCGTGTCGTGCTTTGGTAGTTACTCGCCCGAAACCGCCGCCGAACGTTTTTATCATCCAACACCTGTAAGTTGTAAAGACGGAGGGAAAGCGTGAGTGACCGTGATTCCTCACGCTGTAAGGAAGAAACACAGATATTGTAAGTTGTGTGCACGTATACACGAGTACACGTTTGTTTGTTGATGCTGCCAAGAACTGAGGCCTGTACTACGAGGGGAGTTGAACCTACTCAGATTTAACAGGCAGTGTCTTTATATTGTGAAATACCTGCGATCACATAAAAGGCCTCTGTGATCTTCAGAACGATTCAATTACCAGGAGTCGTAACAAATGCATTGTTCTCCACAGGATTGTGGGCAGAGGAGAGGTGGTCTATAGGGTAACGTGGAGATAACCTGCTCGGAGCAGTTTAGAGGACATTACCACGACAGCGTAAGTCTGGTTCGACTTATCCACCTTTTATAGTACGACTTCATCAGGAAGGAGTTACTCCTGAAGTTACCTGGATAAGCCGGTGACCTCTGGAAGGGGTCAGCATCTAGAGGACTGCCTACCCTACCTGGACTTCAAAGGTGAAATACTTCTTGAGGTTCTTGATGATCATAACGAGAAAAGGGAGCTTGATGCCCAATGTCTTCTTGGGGTCTGCCGGACATGTTATATACGTAGTGCTGCAGGGAGTAGAAGAAACACAGAGAGACATGGGAGGGGTGGATGAGGGTGACTGGTGCCTGAATGAAGGAATCCATTAAACAGATTATTCAAACTCACCTGACGTTTGTCCCCTCGACCTCCAGCACCAGCGAGTGGATGTCGTTGTCTGTGATTCTCTTGATGTGACCATTCCTCACCTGTAAACACACACAAACAGTGTTTTTCTTGAGGTTTATGGAGACATCGAGCTGGCAAAGGAGCACTGTCACAATCACACAACTGTACAGGTGTCAGTTTATGGATATATCTGCGTTTATAAGTGTCTTAAGATACTGAGGTGATTTAGAAAACAGTGTCCCCTTTACATAGATTACCAACCTGAGAATTGTCTTATTGTCTTTTTGTGACCATGTAAAGTGCCTTTGAGTGCCTACAAGCACTATATTGAATAACTCTATTATTATGTATTTAATGTGTTAGTGTTACAAATCACTATTGGCTCATATCTCTTAAACATCAACACCGGTATCAGCCTTTCAGATCCTGTATCTGTCGGTTCAGATGCTGATGTGGGAGCAGTCAGTGAACGTAAACAAGCAATATACCGCACTGTTGTTATTCACACCCGTCGCTTAGCAACAACAACACATTAGCAGCATCAATCAGTGATACAAATACAAATGTCCATATTTCATTATTGAACGAGTTCCATGCAGATCGATATCGGTGCTTTACATCACTAGTGGCAACTGAGTTTTAGTTTCAACACATCAACAATACAGGGGAATAACATCGACATCAGCTGCGGGGAGAACTTCAGAGAGCTGGAGTGATGACTTTATCAACCACTTTATCTTTACTTTTGTGTATTTTACTGGAGCTGATCACCTAATTGATCATGTGTGCGTCACAGGTTGAACTAACGCCTATAGCTATAACAACACAGAGTCAGTCAGCTGTGTGCACACTGCATCCCAACCGCACCGCAGGAGATCAGCTGCAGCTTTTAATACAATAACACAACTAATAAATAAACAAGCGTTTACAACCAGACACATGATGCTAGTTAGCTTTAGCACGACGAGCTAAGGAAGCTATTAGATTATAGCATTCATTCTGAATCGCTGCTTACCTTTTTGTCCCATATCTGCAGTGGTTTGCTGCCGATGCTGTATAAAATAGAGAGGAATCCGCTTTGGAATGTGTTTTTAAACATCTTCTTTGAGTTTAGTTAGTCCACAGTCGGTTCCCACTTGTGTTTAAGTCCACTACTAAAACTGTTGCTAACGTGCGTTACGTTTGTTTACAGATTTGGTTTCCGTTCCCAAAGCTACCGCTTCCGTGTGCACAAAATACCCCGTTCCGCTGTCAGAAACTAAAGCGTTTGAGTTAAATAAAAAAATCCCATGTGCAATGTCATTATGGTAATTCAACACGTCTCTCCTCAGGACGCGCAGAGAGAAACAAAAAACCTAAAAAGATTAGCTAGTGGTCCCTTCTTCATTATTTTGGTGTTGCTAGGGAACAGAATCTCCTGGCGTTGTTCACGTCGGTTCTTAAATGGTGACGCATATCGGTCGCCGTGGCAACAAAATGCTTGACCAACGTCAATATGTTTTAATTCTATTTCTATTTATATTAAGTTAGAACATAATGTAAATGGTGAATTAGTGTTTGGTGGTTTAGACTAAATTAATCATTATTATTTTTTTTTTTTATTAAGCTATTTTTACATGTACTTTATATTATCCAACTCCAATCCAATCCAACTTTATTTGTTAAGCACTTTAAAAACAACCAAAGTTGACCAAAG